TGGATGCACATGCTTAAAAGAAAGGGTAAATAAAATGCAATAATATGTTTTTTGTTTTTCTGTATTTGTTTTTTTTTTTTAAACTATTGTAACTTTTTGCAGTCTTATAATAAATCTCCAGACAATGTGTATTGTGCTGACAAGATAATATGAAAAATTTTCTTTGTTTCTATGAAATATAAAATAGATATATTGCCACTGTCTTTACACTGCTCTTCCTTACCAGAGGGAAATCTGACTTTTTTCAGGGAGTCTTTTGTTTAAACATTTTGATCTCACAGCCCATGCATTGTTCAGTTTTATAAAAAAGTATGCGTATAATTTTAAAGAAAGATTACTCTTAGTGCTAGGTCAACTTTTAGTGGAAACTCAACATGTTTGTCATGTTCGAAAAACACTAGCACATCTATAACTTACAAAGAACCTTTTTTTTTTTTTTATTTTAATACATCTTGGTGTCTAAAATTCAGAAAATGAATTCTACATTATGCTATCTTCCATAACCCTTTTAATCTTACAACCGTATAAACATGCTGTTTGTCTTTTTTTTTTTTTTGCTACATTATTTTCTTCAGTTTAAGAAGGAAATTCATCCATATTGTGTAAGAAATAAAATCAGAAAATATAGAACACTCCAATATAACTAACTAACTAACTATCTTTAAAGGGACACAACTGACACATAACTATTAACATGATCCTGTACTGGTTCTAGTCCTATGTCATTATTTTATTTTCTGTCAATCCATTTTCGATTAGTTTGACCCAAAGTGTGGTTCATCACTATAATATATATATATATATATATATATATATATATATATATTGGTAATGCCTAATATGAGCACATTACATTTATGTCCTATCCCCTATATGTATTCCAGTGTGGAGGCTTTCGTTCTGTGCCTCCCTCTCTCTGTTTATGTATGGGAATGTTCCCTCCCACCTTGGGACACATGCGTTCCACCTGGTTGGAACGCATGTGTTACACTCATCACGTGACGCGGAAGTAATTTTCGGCCGCGCGTCACGTGATTATGACGCATGCGTTCCACTCGGTTGAAACGCATGCGTTCCATTCATAGCATCACGTGACGCGGAAGTAGTGACATCCGCATGTCACGTGACTGCTCGTTTTCTGCTTATTTTAGCTGTTTAAATGCTCGTTTTTATCTTTTCTTTTCATATTTACATCATATTCCCTTACACTATACAAATATGCTTCTTAATCTTTATTTCTGTTTAAAAATTTTTTTTGCAATACTCCAGTGATGTCATTCTGGCGGGAATTTCAAATTCCCATCGAAGTACTGTATGTTATATAAATCTCTGTATGTCAGGTGTGCCCTCCTTTATAACTATCTACTTGAAGAAGCCTTTTGAGGCGAAACGCGTCTAGATATTATTAGTATTTATTTTATTTATTTCTAATAAAGAATTTTATTTGGCATAAAATATTTTATTGCCATTTTTCTTTATATTTATTCATTTTATTTTATCCAATATCTGCACCTGACCTACATCTACAAAGAATTGAAAGAATCCAGGGTGGGGATTATACCACCTAAGTGCCTATACTGAGCAGTACAAATCTGCTCTATACTGTGTAAGTAATTTTCTATATACCATCACTTTATATCACAAACAGAGAGCACTATTATTTTTATTTCAATTTTGGGTTAAATTAATTGGAACACTGAACACGGATCAAGAACTCTCCAATCAAGCACTACTCTACATATCCATGAGTGGGGATCATTCCACTTCACGCGCATATATTGGAGCTAAATTCTAGCTCCAAAAAGTGTGAGTAGGACCATTTGCACTATCTCAATATTTATATTGTGATTGATATACTGTACCATTGGAGTTCTCCTTTTTTTTTTTCTGTATTCCTTTTATATACATACCTCACCGGATTCAAGTTCATCACTGTGAAGTTTCAACCCCGTCTGACGTCCCAAGATTTGTTGTTGCTACAAGGAGAAACTACTACTACTAACGGACATTCGATAAGTGTTTTGGACTTTTATCTCACTTATTTAAAAGTTTTATCCTACATTTTATATAATTGTTGTATTCTATATATTATATATTATTTATACATTTTAGGCGCACCCTTACCTTTCTTTTTGTCTATTGTTATCAGGTGATTGGCCAAAATTCTGATTTCCGAACCACCACGCGGTATTTAGCATGGGGGGAGCAATTTTGCGCAAACCTGAACATCATGCCAATTTTAATTTGTGAAATGAAGTGCCATTCCTGTCACCAAAAAGAAGCGGGATGGAATTGAGAAGAGGCAGCCTTTTACAGTGTTCTTCCCTAAATTACTAAAGTGAGAATTTAAAAATTAATTTTAAGTATTGCCAAAAAAAATAAATCTTAAATTTTGATGTCATCATGATTGGGGGTAGGGCCATTAAGGTATGTTTTAACACCTTCTAAGCAAAACTTCCAGCCAAACTAGCATGTGAAGCTAGTAGTGCATCTGTAGGGCAGCTGGGCTATCGATCCCTCCTACTACATGCTGAAGTGATGGACAAAAAGCAAACTTCAGCAAACAATCAGACAAATAGTGGGAAGTTGAGTGGGGGAGCAGGCAGTCACCAATCAGACATCAGTGGGCAAGTCATAGTCTAGCACACCACCACTCCATTAGCATTGACTCCCCACTTGTGTATGAGCATTGGGCAATAATTGGTCAGCTAGTTGCAGTTATGCCATTAAGGAACACGATTGACAATTTGAGCTACAGTTATGCCAGTTTTGGACTCTCAACCCCTTGTCTACCCTTATAAACATTATTGATGCCTTACTGGAAAACCGGGAAGTAGTTCCTGACCACAAACACCACCGATATAGCAGGAGTGGTCACGATGCTGAAAGATCTATTTAATGCTCTATTTAGTGCTTGTCTGAGTGAATAAGTTACTAATTGCAAAGAACTGATATTAGCCCTGTGTAATACTAGGATTATGGGAAAAGTAGCACTCCAATTTAACAGCCTGATATACTGGAATGACATACTTATTAACATGGCCTGTGTGTAGCAGTGAAAGACTGGCATTTTGATCATTCATTTTACCATTGTCTAATATTCTCAACAGCAGTGCTGGCAGTATAATCCCAAGACAGCTTGAAGCAGTTCATTTTTGGCTTAATGCTGTTGGCTGTCTGGTGGGAGCAAATGAAGCAGCAAGCAGCCTCTAAAATGGTCAGAATGTACCTGTCTGAACCTGCTGTGCCTCCCACTGTCGTGTCTCTGAGTTACGCTTTGTGTCTCATTGACCAGCAGCCAGGGCCGCTATCAGGGGGTGACAACCATAATGGTTGTCACGGGCCCGGCGGCCCTAGGGGGCCTGGCCTCACGGGCTCCACGTGTAGAGGCGGAAGTGCCACAGGTGCAGTTGCACCGGGGCCCGCACGCTGTTGGTGTCTATCAGGTGGCCCACGCACTTATGGCCTCCCGATGGACCCTATATCTTCAGGGGCCCGGTCAGCTCTGTGGCCGCTTAATAGCGCGACCAGGCCCCTAAAAAAACAAAAAAAAAAACGCAGCCACAACTGCTGCTGGGAGGAAGTGGTCAGTGGGAGGACCGCAAGTGAAGAGGGAGAGCCGGGGACCTTTGGGTGGCATAAACCCAGTCTCTGCTATGCTGAAAACCTCAAAGCTACGTGCCAATCTGCAGAATTCTTTAGTAAGACCGAAAGAAAAGATGGGTAATAACTAAATTGTATAAGTACAATAAGCTATAAGTGTATAGACATGGAATGGGGTATAAGAGAGACAGCTTTTTGTGAAGCAAGTAGTCCCCCATTTTATTAGTGGTATACATTTTGTTTATTTTTCTTTTTGAGTCTCTGTTCACAGAATTCATATAAAACTTGCATAAATGACACGATTCTGTCATGCTCGTGTTTTTTTTTTTTATATAAACACGTGAGAAATGGACACAAATTAAAAGCTTGTTAATTTCTACGCAGGAGATCTTCAATTAGTTTTAGTTGACTTTTCCATCACAAAAGGATCCAAAAGTGCATAAAAGATAATTGTTCCGTTCCTGGGGTATCATGAATACCCTGCTCTATTTTTTTTTTTTTTCTCAAATGGATGGACAAGTGGAAACCATACCCGTCTTTAAAAATTAGCTATTTTCTATGGAGGATTTGACAGCATTCTTGTTTTTAAAGAGAAGGACCTCCCTTTTCTTTTTTTTGTTTTGCAGAAATGTATGTATGCCAGTATCAATGTATGTCTGTGTGTGTGGATGTCAGTGTCTGTATGCATGTATGTAAGTATGTCTGTAAATATGCATGTATGTATGTCTGTATCCCATTATGAATGTATGTCTGTGTATGGAGGTCAGGGTCTGTATGCATGCATGTATGTACAGTTGCAAGAAAAAGTATGTGAACCCTTTGGAATGCAATGGATTTCTGCACAAATTGGTCATAAAATGTGATCTGATCATTATCTAAGTCTCAACAATAGACAATCACAGTCTGCTTAAACTAATAACACACAACGAATGAAATGTTGCCATGTTTTTATTGAACACACCATGTAAACATTCACAGTGCAGGTGGAAAAAGTATGTTAACCCCTAGATTAATGACCTCTCCAAGAGCTAATTGGAGTGAGATGTCAGCCAACTGGAGTCCAATCAATGAGATGAGATTGGAGGTGTTGGTTACAGCTGCCCTGCCCTGTAAAAAACACACACCAGTTCTGGGTTTGCTTTTCACAAGAAGCATTGCCTGATGTGAATGATGCCTCGCACAAAAGAGCTCTCAGAAGACCTACGATTAAGAATTGTTGACTTGCATAAAGCTGGAAAGGGTTATAAAAGTATCTCCAAAAGCCTTGCTGTTCATCAGTCCACGGTAAGACAAATTGTCTATAAATGGAGAAAGTTCAGCACTGCTGCTACTCTCCCTAGGAGTGGCCGTCCTGTAAAGATCACTGCAAGAGCACAGCTCAGACTGCTCAATGAAGTGAAGAAGAATCCTAGAGTGTCAGCTAAAGACTTACAAAAGTCATTGGCAAATGCTAACATCCCTGTTAGCGAATCTACAATATGTAAAACACTAAACAAGAATTGATTTCATGAGAGGATACCACAGAGGAAGCCACTGCTGTCCAAACAAAACATTGCTGCACGTTTACAGTTTGCACAAGAGCACCCGGATGTTCCACAGCAGTACTGGCAAAATATTCTGTGGACAGATGAAAGTTGAGTTGTTTGGAAGAAACACACGACACTATGTGTGGCAAAAAAAAAGGCACAGCACACCAACATCAAAACCTCATCCCAACTGTGAAGTATGGTGGTGGGGGCATCCTGGTTTGGGGCTGCTTTGCTGCGTCAGGGCCTGGACGGATTGCTATCATTGAAGGAAAAATGAATTCCCAAGTAGTGATGTCGCGAACACGAAATTTTCGGTTTGCGAACGGCGAACTTCTGCAAATGTTCGCGAACCACCATAGACTTCAATGGGCAGGCGAATTTTAAAACACACAGGGACTCTTTCTGTCCACAATAGGGATGGAAAAGTTGTTTCAAGGGGACTAACACCTGGATTGTGGCATGCCGGAGGGGGATCCATGGCAAAACTCCCATGGAAAATTACACAGTTGATGTCTGGTCTTAATCCATAAAGGGCAGAAATCACCTAACATTCCTAAATCACAATGGATATGGATTGATACCTGACATATGACATATTGACAAAGAGCAGAATAGGGACTGTTCTCCTACATAGGGTCACTTGGCACATATGCATTGACACCTGTCCTCAGAGACCCTGATACACACTGACACAGAGCAGAATAGAGACTGTTCTCCTACATAGGGTCACTTGGCAGATATGTCTTGACACCTGTCCTCAGAGACCATGATACACACTGACACAGAGCAGAATAGGGAATATTCACTAAATGCCAAATATTGTTATACAGGGGAATATTCAGTAAATAAGGCCCCGGCCCCTGCACGGTGGGTGGGGGCCATAAATCTCAATGGGGGGGGACCTACTGTCCTCCCACCCGTGAGCGGTGGGTGGGGGCCATAAAAATAATGAGGGGGGACCTACTGTATGATGTATCGATCAGGTAGTGTAAGGGTTACGCCCGCTTCACAGTGACAGACCAAACTCCCCATTTAACGCACCGCAAACAGTCCATTTGCACAACCGCATACTCCCCATTTGCACAAGGTTGGATACCAAGCTAGCCATGTCCCGTTCCTTGTCTTCACTGATGTCATTGAAGGTCTCTTCCTCCACCCAGCCACGTACAACACCAAAGGTCCCCGAAAGGTGACAACAAGCCCCCTGGGACGCCTGCTGTGTTTGGTCTTCCACCTCCTCAAAGCCACCTTCCTCCTCTGACTCCTCTTCTTCAGACTCCTCTCTCTGCGTTATTATAAGGTGTGTTAAGTAGTATTATTCCTATCAGTTTAATCCCTGTTACGTCCCCTATCCTTTGATGTGGAGCAAGATGCATCAGCAGAAGAAGACTCAGCCGAGGAGGTTATGGAAGAGGATGGAGTAGGAGAAGTAGAGGAGGTGGCAGCAGGTCTGCCTGCAAGTCGTGGCGGTGTCACCAACTCCTCTGCAGAGCCACGCATTCCATGCTTGGCAGCCGTCAGCAGGTTTACCCAATGCGCAGTGTAGGGGTTGCCTGCCTCTGCCTGTCATTTTTTTTTTTTCGATTAGTGGTACTATGCGTGCAAGCTACTCTGACACCAGATATGAGTGGCACTGTGAACTGGCAGTGGTTGGCAGAGTACACGCTGTAGGGCTGACACACCCGCTGGCAGACAACTAACTGCTATTCAATCTATAACAGTGAAAAAAGTTTTTTGTTTTTAAATGCAAGCTATTGTGACACCAGTGAGTGAGTGGTGGCACTGGGCACAGTATCCACTGTGAGCCTGACACAGAAGCTGGCAGCAGTGGCAGACAACTAACTGCAATTACATTACACAGAAAAAAAAAGCAGACTGATGTTCTAGCCCTAAAAAGGGCTTTTGGGGGTGCTGTCCTTACAGCAGAGATCAGATGAGTCCTTCAGGACTGTAGTGGACACTGTATACCCTAACCTAGCTATGCATTTCCCTATCTAATCAACAGCAGCTACACTTTCCCTCCTCTCACTAAGCATGCAGCTTGAGAATGAATCTAAAATGGATGCTGTCCAGTAGGTGGGAGGGTGTGCTGCTAATTGGCTGGAATGTGTCTGCTGACTGTGAGGTACAGGGTCAAAGTTTACTCAATGATGACGAATAGGGGGTGGATCGAACCGCGCATATGTTCACCCGCCGTGGCAAACGCGAACATGCTATGTTCGCCGGGAACTATTCGCCAGCAAACCGTTCAGTGCATCACTATTCCCAAGTTTATCAAGACATTTTGCAGGAGAACTTAAGGCCATCTGTCTACCAGCTGAAGCTCAACAGAAGATCGGTGTTGCAACAGGACAATGACCCAAAGCATAGAAGCAAATCAACAACAGAATGGCTTAAACAGAAGAAAATACGCCTTATGAAGTGGCCCATTCAGATTCCTGACCTCAACCCGATTGAGATGCTGTGGCATGACCTCAAGAAAGAGATTCACACCAGACATCCTAAGAACATTGCTTAACTGAAACAGTTCTGTAAAGAGGAATGGTCAAGAATTACTCCTGACCGTTGTGCACGTCTGATCTGCAACTATAGGAAATGTTTGGTTGAAGTTATTGCTGCCAAAGGAGGTTCAACCAGTTATTTAAATCCAAAGGTTCACATACTTTTTCCACCTGCACTGTGAATGTTTACATGGTGTGTTCAATAAAAACATGGCAACATTGCATTCTTTGTGTGTTATTAGTTTAAGCAGACTGTGATTGTCTATTGTTGTGACTTAGATAATGATCAGATCACATTTTATGACCAATTTGTGCAGAAATCCATATCATTCCAAAGGGTTCAGATACTTTTTTTTTTTTTCTTGCAACTGTATATATTTATGTATGAATGTATGTATGTGTCTGTATGTCCTTATGCATGTGTGTCTGTATGTATGTTAGTATGTCTGTCACTATGTATGCCTGTGTGTCTGTATATGTGTATGTCTCAGTATGTGTGTGTCAGTATGTATGCCTATATGCGTGTATGTCTGTTTCAGTTTGTGTATCTGTTAGATTTTTATTTTTTGTATCAGTGTGTGTGTTTGTGTCTGTGTGTGTGTGTATTCTTGGAGGCGGTCCCTGTGGGCGGGTTTGGAGGCAGCCCCCGGGGTCCCAGACCCTGAGCTGAGTTAGGGGCCCCAAATGTCTGGTGGCGGCCCTGCCAGCAGCTTTTGTCCACCGACCACTTCCCAAAATAAGCAATGCTTATTAATAACAAATGTCCCTGCAACTGATGGAGAAAATAGCCTTCTTTAAGTTTAATCTCCCCAAGTTGGGTAACCCTGCTTGTCAGCGTAATATTTGAGGTGTCGGGGGTGTGGCCTAACCGAGCACGGAGCTGGACGTGTGTGTGTGTGTAGAGCTCTGCTCAAGAAAAGCCAACTTAAGTGTAAATTTACAAGCAGTATCGATACCAGAACATCCATGGGAAAAACGCAACCCCAAAAAAACCACAAGAAGGGGAACGACAATGGGACCACGGTACCGGAGCTCTCTGCTGCCCAGAAGGCCGGGATGTCGGAAAGGCCAAAATGGCACTGAAAATATCTCAAGCGCGGCACCTACCTCACCACGTGCAGCGGGGGCAGAGGAGCTTAGCCAAGGGACAGCAACACAAATACTGTCTAAATTGGCAGAGGTACGAGCCTTCCTGGCTGGGGAGATAGGGAAGTCCACAGCGGTATTACAGGCCGATATACACGCACTTGGCGAAAGGACAGGCCGCTTAGAGGAATGCATGGATGGCAACACCAGGGCACACAATGAGATGATAGCCCAGGTGAACAGCCTTGCAGCCCGTTTGACTGAACAAGAATTGCAGGTATGGACATAGCGAACAGATCGTGGCGAAACAATCTGAGAGTCTGCGGCCTGCTGCAGAGAGAGGGTGAGGGATCCCTGCAGGAACTGCTGCTCCAAGTGTTCCAGCCTTGGTTACCCAATATCCCGGACGACATGTGGTGCATGGAGAGGGCCCACAGAGACCTACTGGCAAGGAAACCTGAGCTCAACTCCCCAAGAGATGTTATAATAAAATTCCTCCCTTTCCCTACCAAGGAGGCCTTACTGAAGAGGAGCAGAGAGGGACCCATCAGATACCAGGGAGTGGAACTCACCTTGTACCAGGATCTGGCACCGAGCACGCTCCAGCGCCGCAGAGACTGGAAACCCATCACAGAGGCACTGTAAATCCACTATGCTTGGGGTTTCTCCTTTTGCCTGATGGCTTTCCACGGAGGAAGAGTCAACACGTGGATGGTTGGAGGAGACCCACAGTGCTTTGTGAGCTAGTTGGGCCTGGAACCACTGAGGAGCTAGCCGGCTGTCCCCCTACCATTGGAAGAGCTGACGCCCATACCATTGGACTGGCAGAATGTGGGAACCAACTGAAGACAGCAGATGGTATTGTATAATACCCTGGGCTACCAGTGAGGCTTTGCACGGTTTCCAGGGGATGCACACCAAGACTATTTGGGTGCAGGGTAAAGGGGCCTGCGGGGAGAATGGCTATGAATACGAGTGAGAGGCCGAAAAGAGGGAAGAGCCCTATGAGATGTGGTTGGGAGGGGACAAGAAGGAGTGTACGGTAGCCACAGAAGGTGAGGGACCTTGCTGGCAGGGGTGGAAGATGGACCTTGAGCTATCGAGCGGACACACGTGGAGGTCCTACAAAAGACCAGAGGGACTCTGGAAAGAACATGAGGGACTCATACTTTGACCTGAGGGGCCCAAATAATGCACTACGAGACAGCAGAACGGGGGGATAGGGCAACGACTTTGGGAGGGGATCAAGGGAAGGTGGTCTATACAAAGATGTGTTCGTAAATGCAGGGCGGGAGGGTAAGGGGATATCATTAGGGAAGTTATTAGGCATGCACACTACCTTGTATCCGGGTATATGGGGGAAGGGGATGGTGAAGTGGCAGGAAGAGGCCGGATACAAATGTAGTACAGGTACAGCAACACAAACACAATAGGCTATCAGCAGCAGCGGGCCCAAGGAGAGAGGAAGGGAGCAACACACATAGGGGGAACTGCTGAGAAGCCCGAAGGGACTGCAAGATATCCCCTTACAAAAGATATCAATAGCCAACAGGGATGAGAGGGGAGGGGGACAAAGGGGAGAGGGTGGTATATAGCTCTTGAAACATTAATTTATACGTCCATTAAAATAAATAAACATATATATGTATGTATCTGGGTATGTATGTTGT